ATACGACGGTTATCCGGAAAGTAAGGTGACAAGATTTTTTAAAACTACAAAGACTGAATATATATTAATAAAACTTACATGGATTGTAGCATAGGTATTACATTATTTTTCCACATAATTGCCATTCAGTTGACATTTTGTCAACTATGGGACGAGTTTTTTGATGCCTGTATCATAGAAGTTTCCCTCCACCTTTTTCAACCAGTTTGTCACTTCGATTTTCACCTCGTTGTCGTCAGAAAAGTGTTTTCCCCCAAGGTGTTCCTTCAGTTTAGTGAACAGATGATAGACACTAGGTGCAAGATCGGAGTTGTGAGAGGGGTAGCTTAAAACATCCCAACCAAATGAAGTCAGCAACTCTTGTGTTGCATGAGCAGTGTGCAGGCACACATTGCTATGAAGGAGACAGGCTCCTGCCGTCAGCATCCTAGAACATTTGTTTTGGATGGCTCTGTGAAGTTTCTTCATAGTCTCACAATATATTCCGTACACATTTTGTCACATGCTGTCATGACATTACGTCCACTCCATAAACTGAAATAATTTTGCAATGAATCGCAGTGGTGTTCATGCCCTTAGCATTTAGGTAGCATATTACAGCACAAACTCCGCACTTGGAGGGAAACAGAATGAGGATACTCATCTCTAATCTTCACCACAATGCCAATTAATGAGCTACTGATTATTGGCACTGCTCATTCGCTTCCACTAACTTCCCACTACACGACAGTGACACCAACTTCCCCAAGAAAATTCCCCACAAGAGCTATGTGCCTTGTAACCTTACTTTTCGGATAACTCTCGTACATTTTGTATGCTGTCGTGAGCAGGGCCTGTCGATCAGTGGTAGAGCATTTGCTCTGCAACAGAAGAGATCACATTGTCCTCTCACTATTTGATAATCCTTCACCAAAGTACACTTGGTTAAATATATGTCAGTCTCTCTACAGATGTAGCATAGTCTTTAAGGTGTACTCCTGGTATGTAGGTTTGTACATAAACAAGAATCCAAACTTAAACTAAGAATTGCACAATGCCTCTCTTTTTTATATATATCCTTGTTAAAGAATAAAAATAAAGTGTAGCTGTGAATCACCACCATCACAACCAAGAGTAAATAACTGTCCTCTTAGGAAAAAGAAAGAACAATGATAACAACAAGAACAAGTTGTTTTTGACACCAACCCAATTGTTTGAGTAACTGCAATCTAGAATTTTGCAGTGTGGTTATTGATAAAAAGGGAAGAACACTTCCAGTCTTAAACTGAATTGTATGCCCCAAAGAGCTGACAAGAAATCATCACGCTGAGCTTTCTGACAATGTTTTTGTCCTATGTCAGGCAAGGAAATGTGTGGCTGAACTGCTATTCCTATTAGACTTAGGTAAGATAATAAAGGACAAAGCATTATGAATAGGCTGCAATTCAAAAATGAATTCTTCTTTCGGAAACACAACTAAAACAACATGTCACTGGAGGACATATATTCCTCTCCTCAAATTCACTAAAACTGGTTATTGCCACGTCATAATAAACTGTTCAGAACCACATGGAGTCAAACATGATTTTCATTCTAACAGCCATTTAATAATAATAATAATAATAATAATAATAATAATAATAATAATAATATACTTTATTTATATTCCACTCTATCTCCCTGAGGGGACTCAGAGCAGATTACAGAATACATATATGGCAAACATTCAATGCCATGATACAACTAACCACAAAGACAGACAGTACACAGACAGAAGCAAAGGCTTCCCCCTTTCCATATCCAGCATCTGGAGGGTGTGCTCGACTCTGGCCATGAGGAGGGGCCCTTGTTCCATTTTCCATGCCAAGTAGCCTGTTGTCCGTGGATGCCTACCCGATTTAATTGCTGGCATGTCTGGATGGGCACCTTTTACCTTCTCGCCAAAGCAGTACCTATTGATCTACTCACATTATTGTTTTTGAACTCCTAGGTTGGCAGGTGCTAGGGCTAATGGTGGGAGCTCACCCCAACCCGCAGCTTGAACTGCCAACTTTCTGGTCAGCAAGATTTTCTGCAGTTGGCAATTTAATCCACTGTTCTACCATATCTATAAATACATCTATATGTATATAATTCTCCTCCTAGGATGAATCTTCATAGCTATTTATTTATCGTGTCAGGAGCAAACCAAAACAGTTGTATTGCATTAAAAACAAACAAGCAAACATACTTATATATCCATTACTAGCCATCCCCTGCCACACATTGCTGTGGCCCAGTCTGTGTACATGTGTTTTGTGTGTGTGTATATGTGTGTATATATTTGTGAATATATATAGATATGTGTGTTTGCGCGCGCGCGCGCGTGTGTGTGTGCATGGTTTTGTGCATGCGTTGTAATGTACTTTTTATTATTATTATTGGCTTTTAAAGTCTCTTCTGATGTGTTTTCCAGTGTTTTTATGAGTGATGGTCACTCGTTGGCCTGATAGGTGTATTGTGTCCAAATTTGGTGACTTTTCGCCCAGTGGTATTTGAGTTATGTTAATCCCACAAATGAACATTACATTTTATTTATATAGATGTTAATATACTGTCAGTCTTCCATATCTATGGATCCTGCATCCACAAATTCAATCATCCACAGCTTGAAAACCTTTCTTAAAATTCCAAAAAACAAGCCTTGGTTTGCAATTTTATATAAGGGACACCATTTTACTAGGCCATTGTATATAATGTGAATGCAGCATTCATGGATTTTGATTGTCTATGTCATACTGTATTCATATCAGCTCTTATCAGTGATTTGGTATACAGTATATTTGTGTTTATCATCATGGCTGAAAACTTTCTTAGTTTCCCCCATACATTTATTTAAATTAACTGTTAAGCAACTAATTCTCAGCAGTAATATTCCAGTTAAAAGTCCCCAACAGTATTAAAATTCCTAGATGTTTGCAATCCTGCTTATATAGGCTAATGTTGTGAATACATCATGTTGCAATGAGCCAGCTAATAACAACATTCAAGAACAATGTTGTTAGAATGGAAGGAATGGAAAGCATGCTAACCCAGAAACTGAAACTGTCTTCTGGATAATGGAACTATTGCTTCTCCAGCCTGGGTTGCATGCCACGTTTAAGCTACTCAGTTCTTTCCAAATCCAACATTATATTAAAGATTTATTAGTTCTTCTTTTTATATTTCAGATGTGGTTTTACTTCATTTTTACAGACTTCCAAGAGCTGAAATCCAATCATATTGCAATTATGCTCCTGTCCATCAGAATTTTGGCACTCTACTATCTGAATGCCATGGAAATAAACTTTTTGCCTCTTTGAAATCTAGCTTTTGTTTCAAAGCCAGATTTTTAGTGCAGGCATGCACCCAGACACATGCATGCATATACATACACAAACACACACAGACAATATCAGATATATGGAGGAAATCACACTGATTCTGGGACTCTAATAAATAGATACGGACATTGAGATGTGAGGATCAATTTTCTAACAATGGCAGTCCAAGCTAACCATGTAGTATAGACATTATATGTTAACAGCAATTGTATGAAAAACTGGCTTGGAGGTAGGGGTCTGCAAGGTGCACCAATGTAGTCCTAGCCAGCATTGTCTATCTTGGTTAATGGTCCAGTAACATCTGTAGGATTGTACAGGTTGAGCATCCCTTATCTGAAATGCTTTGGGACCAATTATTTTGGATCTTGAAAGATTTCAGAGCATCTGTGTTTGCATATACCTTTTTAAAAAAGCAGCGGGTTAAACCGCTGAGCTGCTGAACTTGCTGACCTAAAGGTTGGCGATTTGAATCTGGGGAGTGGGATGAGCTCCTGTTGTTAGGCCCAGCTTCTGCCAACCTAGCAGTCCGAAAACATGCAAATGTGAGTAGATCAACTCAAAGTCTGAGGCAATTGGACAGATCTATCTATCGGGCCGCTGGTGGCATAGCGGGTTAAACCACTAAGCTGCTGAGCTTGCTGACTGAAAGGTTGGCAGTTAAAATCCATGGAGCAGGGTGAGCTCCCACTGTTAGGCCCAGCTTCTGCCAACCTATCAGTTCAAAAACATACAAATGTGAGTAGATCAATAGGTACCACTTCTGCAGGAAGGTAATGCGCTCCATTCAGTCATGTCGGTCACATGAACTTGGAGGCGTCTATGAACAACGCTGGCTCTTTGGCATAGAAACTGAGATGAGCACCACCCCCTAGTCAGACATGACTACACTTAATGTTAGGAGTAACCTTTACCTTTGTTACTACTCGTTAGTATCCTGTGAATTATTCATTTTATAAAAATCACACAAACAAAGAATGGCTTCCTAGTTCAAAATGCCAAAATAACACATTAAACAAGTAAAGTTGCTCATTATCCAAAATGTTAACTTCATTGTTCAAAATTGTAACAAAAAATGCTGTTACTTTTAAAAAGCTGTTTTTAAGCTCTGGATATAATTAGCATCTTCTTCTTCTGCTACTACTACTATTACTATTTATATCCTGGTTTTTTCTCTCTAAAAAAGAGCGACAAATCAACTAAACAATAAAACCAATACAATAGAATTTGAAACCTAAAAATGTACACACATTAAAATAGAATTAAACATTAACAGTATTAAAAAATAAACACTGAAAACACTTTAAAACCAATAAAACTCCATTCATGCTTGGGGGTTGCATACAATAACATACAATCCAATAGCAGTGTGTGAAATTCCGTCGGTCGATTCACATTTCAGATAATTTCGGCAACTTGGCAGCCGAGCCACCGAAAACAAACTCAAAAGGATCTCTTCGGAGCCTTGCAGAATGAAAAACGACCCCCCACAAATAGTCTAAAAGCGATCCCCCATGAATACGTAGTTCATGCTATAATTTATCCATGTAACTGTTCATATTAAATGTCTGCAAGTGTAAGAGGAAAGAGGAGGAATGAGAAGAGATTTTGGAAATTCCTTTTCAAATAATATGGAGAGCAAACAGAAAGAATGGTACTCACCTGTATCACTTCTACTCCTCTTTTCCTGTGAAAAGAAAAGAGAAAGAAATAGATTAATTATTGTTTTCAGGATGACTGAAAACACTGCCTTGGATTTTCCCAGTGCTTAGTATCTATGTTTCCAACAGAGAAAATAATAATGCTACATTGATGTACCCAATCTGTTACTCTTCAGATACATTAGACTATAACATCCTAAGAAACCCATTTAATGTGGAATCAGGTGTCAAACAGGGATGTGTTATTGCCCAACCTTATTTTCCATCTTCATTGCTGTGATACTGCACCTTGTTGATAGGAAGCTTCCCACCAGAGTGGAAATCATCTATCTGACAGATGGCAAGCTAGTTAACCTCAGCAGACCGAAAGTAAAAACCGAGGTCACATTTGTCATAGAACTGCAATATGTCTATGATAATGTAGTCTGTGTGCATTCAGAAGAAGACCTACGAGCCACTCTAAACATCTTTGCAGAAATGTATGAGAAGCTTGGCCTCTCATTGAACAGTGAAAAAACCAAAATGCTCTTCCAGCAGATACCAGCCAAACCCTTTGGAATGCCAGATATTCAGCTTAATGGTGTCATGTTAGAAAATGTTGACAATTTCTGCTACCTTGGCAGCTACCTTTCCACAAAAGTCAACATTGACACTGAAATACAACACCACCTGAGCTCTGTGAGTGCAGCATTTTTCCAAATGAAACAAAGAGTGTTTGAGGACCAGGACATTCGTAGGGAGACCAAGGTGCTTGTTTATAAAGCTACTGTCCTCCCAACCCTGCTATACGCTTGTGAAACGTGGACTATCTACGGACATCATACTCAACTCCTGGAAAGATTCCATTAGCATTGCCTCCAAAAAATCCTGAAAATCTCTTGGGAAGACAGGCAGTCAAATGTCAACGTGCTCTAAGAAACAAAAACTACCAGAATTGAAGCAATGTTCCTACGCCATCAACTCTGCTGGACTGGCCATGTTGTCCAAATGTCTGATCACTGTCTCCCTAAGCAGTTACTATACTCCCAACTCAAGAATGGAAAATTGAATGTTGGTGGACAGGAAAAGAGATTTAAAGATGGACTTAAAGCTAACCTTTAAAACTGTGGCATAGAGAACTGGGAAGCCCTAGCCCTTGAGCACTCTAACTGGAAGTCAGCTGTGACCAGCAGTGTTGTGGAATTAGAAGAGGAACGAATGGAGGGTGAAAAGGAGAAACGTGCCAAGAGGAAGGTACTTCAAACCAACTCTGATCGGGACCACCTTCCACCTGGAAATCAATGTCCTCACTGTGGAAAAACATGTGGGTCAAGAATAGGGCTCCACAGTCACTTACGTATCCACCGCCAAGACACTGCACTTCGAAGGTCATCATAGTTGGACAATAAGGGATCGCCTAAGTAAGTAAGTAACTAGGGGATTCGGCATTATCTAGTTATAACTCCTTAACCAGACAGCAATTCTTTAGAGTCCAGTTTATTTCCATATAAAATCATCTCTGGCTATTTGATGTTCATACTATGTCACATTGGCGACAGGACAAAGGCAAAAATAATTAAGGATGGAGTCATCCCCAAAGATTTGAATTTCAACAATAGTTTTTATTGCACTTTCAGAAGGAGCAAATGTCAACAACCTAGTGGCCAAACATTCTTATGGTCTCTTCCCAAAGCCTTCTTACAGCACCAATAAAATTGTTTTTGCTCAACGGATGATTCACGAGGACCAGTCAGACTACAAAAAAGATCCAAGATCAAGTGAAAAAGATAGGCATATATTTGCAGCCTTGTCAAAAGTAAGAAAATTAGAAGCACAGTATTCCTTAAGGGAGAGAGTAGATGGGTTGTTGTTGGATGCCTTCAAGTCATGGCAATCTTATAATGGGGGTTTTCTTGGCAAGATTTATTCAAGGGAGGTTTGACATGTGAGTGTAGGGCTTGCTTAAAGTTATCCATTGAGGCCATTCAATGTTATCAAGGTGACCAACTGCAACATTCACATTTGCCTCAATCAGACAAGAGTTCTTTCTCCTACGCTGGACATTCCACAGATATATAAACCTCACTTGCCTACTTTCCAACCCACCTCACAACCTCTGAGCATGACTGCCATAGATGTGGGCAAAACGTCAGGAGAGAATGCTTCTGAAACATGGCTATACAGCCTGAAAAACCCACAGCAACCCAGAGATTCCAGCCGTGAAAGCCTTCGGACAACGCATTGAGTTTACAATTGTCTGAATGAGAAATTGAACCCTGCTCTCCAAAGTCTTTGCCCAACACTAAATTCATTACAGCATGGTGGTTCTTCTCACTGTTCAAAATTAAGAAAATTAAAAGTGTTCCTTCAATAAGAGACCAAATGGGGCTACAGGTAGATAGGTTTTAGTATGCTTTGGCTAGGAAATCTTTTTAAAAGTAGCTTTGCAGCACTAATTTATGTTTCATCTAATTGAAATGCACTGTTTCATCTTTGCAAATGCAAGTAGATGTCTGAACCAGATCAGCAACCCTTTATTATGTTTACATAAGGGAAAAAACAGCTGCCAAAAGAAGACGATCTACAGGCCCATAAAGGCATGGAAAACTGGTTCTTGTATGCTGTAGCTCAGCATTGAGCACAAGAGAAATTCCTAGGAATATGCTAAGTCTTAAGCAACTCCTGTGACTATTACACAATGCAGGTTGCAAGTAATTTGGGTATAACATGTCAAATTGCCTTTCCATGGAAATTTCCTAAGTGGCTTATAGAATCCATAAAATTAAAAAATTAAAAATCCTAAGGAAAATCCAGTTAAAGATTAGACAGATGAGCATGCTTGGAGACCATACTCACCATGAAGTCACCACACAAATAAAAAAAAAATATCCACAGCAATAATTGAATTTTATATAATGTCTGCAATAGCCTACTTCTTGAAGCACTCAACAAAGATCCTCAGAATGTGGTGGGGTGTAGCTACACGTGGAGAGATCAAGGTTTGTATCTTGGAGGTACTTTTGAAGCAAGTGTTGCTTTTAGAAAGCTAGGTTGCTGTGGTGGCAAGGAGGGTTGCACTCCAGGCCAGGAAAACATGTCTGTCCTTAACCACCATACTCCAGACCAAATCAAATCAGCAGGACAGTTTATTGAAGATTATATAAAAAGCAGTTCAGCAAAAGTAGTAAAACTTCAAAGTCCATAAGCAAAAATAGTCCACAAGGTTCAAGGCACAAGAGTATTCAAGAATCCCAAAACAGCAAAACACCCAGCATAGGAATACAAACAAAACCAGGAAATACAATGCAGCACAGAATCCAATACAAGAATACAGGAACAATTATTCAAACTTGCAAGCAAGATACATGAACAAGAGCATGGGGCTGTAATTCCCATGGCAAGAGCTGCTACCTCAAATATTAACGTTGACCAGATTGCTAGAAAAAACTCCTGGCCTCCCTAATATACCCAACAATCATGTTTTTTCACATGAGATTCAGATATGGGCCTCTTTTCTAATAAGTACGGTGACCTTCATATTCTTTGTTGATCAGCCTGAAGTCTACTAAAACTAGGTCTTCTATCAACAAACTCAATACCATTATCTTGAAGCTTGTTATTCTAGGCACCTGGAATTTCAGCTTCTGAAGTCCTTTCCCTAGAGATCGGCCTTGACTAGCTGGAGACACAGACTGCTCAGTTTCAGGACTTAAAATCTCAGGTCCAGAATCCCCATTTTCAGACCCAGAATCCCCATTGACAATAATATCAGACAGCACTTTGGGCTGAACAAGGAGCACCATTGTCTGGCCACAGCAGTTTATACCTTAGCTACCTCTCAACCAGACTACCGTAATGTGTCCTGGTGGATCTGCCCTTCAAAAGTGTTTGGAAGGTGAAGCTAGTACGAAGTGCACCAGACAGACTGGTGTTGGGTATGTTTAAGAGACCATATCACACCAATCTTGCAAGAACTGCATTGATTTTCAGTTCAGTTGTTTAGGGCTTTCTGATGTTGACCTAGAAAGCCCTAAACAACCTGGCAAAGGCATCAGAAAGATCGCCTCTTCCGATATGAACCTACCAGAAATTTGAAATCTTCAGGAAACCCTGTTGCTTGTAGCAACATCTCAAGAAGTTAGGCTGATGGATACACATAATACATTTCTCTGCAGCAGTGCCCCGACTCTTAAACTCTTTACTAAAGAAGGTTGAGCTAGCTCCATCTCTTTTAAAGAGAAGCCAAAATTCCACATGGCATTTAATGTTCGAAAGTGCTGTTTTAACACTTTCAAAATTGGTTTCTATGATTGTTTTATACTGCCTTTGGAAGTTTTGAGGGAGTATTTTATATGTTTCAAAATGTTTTTATCTCTGTAGTGTTTTAATTGGTTTTTATTTGTTCATTGCCTCAGGAGCACTTGTGGGTGGGAGACAATACAGAAATGCTATAAATACCGGTATATAAGTACAGAAATTGTCTCCCAGGCAAGAATTTTGCCTCCGCCAATGAAATGTTCTTCACTCTCCACATTTCTAGCATTGCACTAATTTAAGCGTCATTTGCGTAGTTGGAAATACAGTTTTGACCTAAAAAGAAAAGGGGCAAGCAAAGTTGCCAAGGGAACACAAACACACATAAGCGCTCTAGGTTTGAACAGTTTCCAATGGCTCACTCTCTGCAATCCTAGAAATTTGGTAACTGAAGGAAGTTTCAAAAAGTCCTATGGGAAGGCAATACCCTCATTTTGCACCCTCCCTGGTTAAACTCCTGTAATGTAGCAACAAAACATATAGCAGTGATTCTCAACCTGTGGGTCCCCAGATGTTTTGGCCTTCAACTCCCAGAAATCCTAACAGCTGGTAAACTGGCTAGGATTTCTGGGAGTTGTAGGCTAAAACACTCGGAGACCCACAGGTTGAGAACCACTGACATATAGTAAAGTTGAACTTTGCCCCAGCTTTTCTTGAATTGTAGCTTTCATAATTCCCTGCCACTAGTCATACTGGTTGGAGTCACTAAGATCTGAAGAACCAAAGCACTGTC